AACGAAATCAAAAAAGCAATAACATCACACATTAAAGTCATCAAATGCGGACTAATCAACTTCACCCTCTGCGTCAAAAATCCCAGGTCTAACCTCGACCGAATCCGGCGACACCACAATGGGACTCCACTGATCCCACATACGCTTCTCGGGATTGACGGACTCGTTCTTCTTCTTCTCTCTCTTAGCCAGACGCGTTGTCTGCTTCGCAATCTCAACCTCTTACGAATAGTCCGGTTTTTGGGTAAGATGCAAACCCCCGGCTACGCCCCGGCACTCGCGGAAATCACCATTCTCCCTTTACGCATCTTCCAATTCCGCATAAAGAGGTACGAACCGCTCACGGCGAGCCATGAACTCCGCAGAAACCTCTCTTTTTCCCGCTCTACGAGTACGGCGAACCATCACGTCGGAAAGCTCTAAGCTTCGACGAGATTCCGCTTCATACTCCTCTCTCACACGAGCAGCCTCCCTTACGGCTAAATCTTGGGCGCAGGAGAAACTGGCATCGATCTCCTTTTTGAGACGAGCAGCCTCCGCCTCCGCCACCTCAGCCCTAGATTCGGCCCTGCGAAGTTCCGTACTACTCGCGTTCACCGCTTCGGTCATGAAGCAAAGACCCTGCAAAAAAGGAAAAATCATCCTTTATAAAAACGAGAGAGGCGATCGAGATAAAGCAAAATAGAAAAACCTTGTTGAAAAGCCTTGACGCCTTCGCAAGTGGTGTGTCGGCCGTTCTCGGGACGACATCTCGGTCGGATCAAATTCGGAGGCTGAAAAATCAATAAAATCTTCGATATTGATATCATCGTCAAACGCTCGACCACGACCAATCGGAACTTCTCTGTCCTGTGGAGACCTGGACCTCTCCCTCTCCTCCGCACCATCATTCGCCTCTACCTCAGTATAACTATCCCGAGAAAAACCGGATGAATAATAGGCAACGGCGCGACGGACCCTCTTCGGAGAAAAATGTCCCCAATAAAGTGGGCCGCCGCGAAGAAGGTTCATGACCTCCGGAAAATCCTCAAGCACCGGCTTGCAAATGGTAGACGCTGCGAAACGCACGAAAAAGTTAAAATCAATACATACGTACGGATATGGGGATCACGTCAAGAGAATACCTGTCGTCACCCACGCGGTCCTGAACAAAGGAATACAACTCTCCTCCACTGATGCGCTATCAATTTTGACATAAAATAATCGATCAGACCAGTCGTGATCATTCGAGGCAAGCCCGCCAATAACCATCATGTCTCGCCGAGGTGCAAGGTAAACGCCGCCCCCTCTTCCTTTGGAATGTCAACATAACCGTAAGATAGTCCGCGTTAAGGGACATTCCGCGTTCGTAGCCTAGTACCAAGATCCCAACAAGGCGCTGCAATCCACTAGGACGTAGTTGGCTGAACGGGACACCAAACCTATCTAAGAACTCGACGATGGCTCGAGGAATAGGGAACCACAGCTGATAGTTCAATAGAAAGGTTTCGTAGCATGAAAAATAGCCCGGAGGTGGATTCTCGACACCCTGACCTTGGACGGGGAGGTGAAACTGGACCGACTCAGGGATCGCACGGAGATTCCTCAAATCTCTGAGAGAGTCAATAGTACTCGCACTAGGACCGATCGTTTTCTTCCGAAGTCTATCCTTCTTCGGAACCCAGAAACTCGTAGGCGGCACCGCGGTGGCCTTCAAAGCCGAATAGTATTCCGAAAACTCTATCTCGGTCGTGGAAAAACGCCGAAAGATCAGCCTGGGAAGGAAGCAGCCGCCAGGCACGTCAAGGTCACTCGGATCAAAGATCGATGCATGAGCATGATCTGAAGCTCTCCATTCGGAAGCCATGATATATGGTCAGAAAAAGAAAAAAAAAGGATCCAAAGGAAGAAGTAGAGAGAGAGCCTCTTGAAACTTAGGCAAGTTGTGGAGAAATGGGTGAAGAACTTGAACAACTCACTCCATATACTTATAAGAAAAACTTTACTATTCACCTTTGGACTTTTGGCCATTAAAGTTCCGCCTAATTCTACCAAACTTGCCAAACAAGCTCGATCCGTTCGCAAGAACTCGACGATTCTTACGAACTGGGGGGCTAACTGTTGGGGTCAAAATCGGTACGACGGAAACAACGGCCAAAACTTCCCCTAGAAATATAAAAGAAATCTTTTTATAAAACTCAAAGAATCGTTTTATAAAACTCGAAAAATCGTTTTATAAAACTCGAGAATCGTTTTATAAAACTCGAAGAATCGTTTTATAAAACTCAAAGAATCGTTTTATAAAACTCGAGAATCGTTTTATAAAACTCGAAGAATCGTTTTGTAAAACTCAAGAATCGTTTTATAAAACCCGAAGAATCGTTTTATAAAACTTGAAGAATCGTTTTATAAAACTCGAGAATCGTTTTATAAAACACGAGAATTGTTTTATAAAACTTGAGAATCGTTTTATAAAACACGAGAATCGTTTTATAAAACTTGAGAATCGTTTTATAAAACTCGAAGAATCGTTTTATAAAACTCAAAGAATCGTTTTATAGAACTCGAAGAATCGTTTTATAAATATCGAGAATCTTCTTATAAAACTTGAGAATCGTTTTATAAAACTCGAAGAATCGTTTTATAAAACTCAAAGAATCGTTTTATAAAACTCGAGAATCGTTTTATAAAACTCGAAGAATCGTTTTATAAAACTCGAAGAATCGTTTTATAAAACAAGAGAATCGTTTTATAAAACTTGACAATCGTTTTATAAAACTCGAAGAATCGTTTTATAAAACTCAAAGAATCGTTTTATAGAACTCGAAGAATCGTTTTATAAAAATCGAGAATCTTCTTATAAAACTTGAGAATCGTTTTATAAAACTCAAAGAATCGTTTTATAAAACTCGAGAATCGTTTTATAAAACTCGAAAAATCGTTTTATAAAACTCGAAGAATCGTTTTATGAAACCCGAAGAATCATTTTATAAAACTCAAAGAATTGTTTTATAAAACTCGAAGGACCGTTTTACAAAACCGCGGAAAACCGAAACCGCCGTAAAATGCGAACTAGCTTCGTCCCGGTAGTTCGCGCAACGGCGAACTAAGCCATGACCGGCTTAGTTCGCCGTCGGGCGAACTAGCCACGTCCCGGCTAGTTGCCCAACGGCGAACTAGCCTCGTCCCGGCTAGTTCGCCGTTGGGCGAACTAGAAGCTTCCCGGTCAGTCCACCGGCCGACAAGTCGGACCGGTCCGGCTCGGTTTGCCGTACGTCGAATCGACCATCCCGAGCCTCGATCTCCCGTATCCCCGATTCAGTGCTTACGACCTTCGACACGGTCGTGCTCCGAACCATGTTCAAAATGTCTCCAGTTTCGTCTCGATCCGACCTATCGTTCGAGTTTTACGATAAAAACCGTAAAACTTTGTTTTCTCGGAAAGAACTAGAGGAAATCGTATAAAACGGAAATGGTTAAACGAAACACCGAACATTGCCTAAACTATACGATTTATTTGATATTTTTCGTTAAAATTATAAAAATGCGTTTTTAGTAAAAAACGTCAAGAAAATCGTAAAAACGGCATCGGATCAGGAAACGGTCTCGTCTAAAGTCGTAAAATGGATTTTATCGTAAAATGGCCCGAAAGGTCCTTAAACACGATAAAACCCCATCTCGCGATATTAACGAAATCAAACCCGAAGATACGATAACGTTTTGATGGTTTACTCGCAAAAGGAAGATAAATGTCAAGTTTGAAGACAAAAGGCAAGTTTGGAGAAAAATAGAAGATTTCCGCGGGAGAAGAGGAAGGATCAAGAGAAATGGAAAATTCCCGATAAACTCGAATTTGGGCGAAATGGAAAGACTAAAACCGCCTAAAAGGGAGTATATAAGCAAGAGGCATAGGGCAGAAGCTGACACACGATTTTCAGAGCTTTCACCACCAAAATTAGCATTTAGGAATATTTCCGTTTTCTGTTAGCGAGCTGCGTCTCAACTAGGGTTTTCGGTCTTAGGCTTCTAGAGTTAGGGATTTCGCCGACGGCTCACGCAGCTAAGGCCACTCTCGTTGTAGCAGTTCTTACACCGATTCGGAATAAAAAACTTCTTGCTCTCTATTTCCGTTCATTCATACTTTAATTTTAAGTTCATCGTTTTTCTTAATTCTCGTTAAGCGGTTCTGCAGATAGCCTGGTCCTCTGGAAACTTAGGGTTTACTCGAAGTTTCCTTATTTACGATTTATTGACCGTAGGTGAATTTCGGTTCCCACAATTTTGAATTGGGGAAACTGTTTTTTTAGACCAGATAGGTTTGGACATTGTCCATTTAGAAAATTATATTTTGTACCAATTTTGACTCTAGTGCCCTTTATGTATTTCCGAAATTAATTTTTTTTTAAAAAAATAGATTTATGAAGCAATTTTTTTTAAAAAATAGTACATAATGATGAAATATCTATATCTATATAGTGATATTTTTTCCTGTTTTAAAAATGTATAAATAATAATTTCATATATCTATTCTACCGAAATTATAATCTGTATACTACGGATTAGAATAAGAAATCCACTTTTTCACTATTTCTACGAATTGCGGAATATGTTTTCTACGGAGATAACACGAATCTAAAATAGTTTGGAATACACATTCCACGCTTATCATAGAGTTCTAATAAGAGTAGAAATTGAAATCTAAATTCTTACTTAAATCTAAAACAAGTAGAAGTCAGAATCTACATTCGCACAACGTTCTAATACACGTAGAAACTGATTTCATATCTCTTTACACAGTTCTACCATTAGTAGAATCTGAATTCTACGGATAAATATTATTAGATCCGAAAATATAGCAAGAAAATATTAGGAAATATTGTACTACCATATTTAAAATTCAATTTTTTTTTAAAAAAAAAGAAGAAGATGGTGTGGAACCGAACACAGTTAGTTACTCTACTCTTTTGAGTGTTTATGTAGAGAATCAGAAGTTTCTTGAAGCTTTGGTAGTTTTTGCAGAGATGAAAGAGGTGAATTGTCCCTTGGATCTCACGACTTGTAATGTAATGATTGATGTTTATGGTCAGCTTGACATGGTGAAAGAAGCTGATAGGTTGTTTTGGGGTATGAGGAAAATGGATATTGAACCAAATGTTGTCAGCTACAACACGATTCTCCGTGTTTATGGTGAATCTGAGCTTTTCGGTGAAGCTATCCATCTTTTCAGGTTGATGCAGAGGAAAGACATTGAGCAGAACGTTGTTACTTACAACACGATGATTAAGATCTATGGGACGACTATGGAGCACGAAAAGGCAACGAATCTTGTTCAGGAGATGCAGAGCAGAGGAATCGAACCTAACGCGATTACATACTCAACTATTATCTCAATATGGGGGAAATCTGGTAAATTAGACCGAGCTGCAACACTGTTTCAGAAACTGAGGAGCTCAGGTGTTGAAATTGACCAAGTTCTGTATCAGACGATGATTGTGGCTTATGAAAGATTTGGTCTAATGGGTCATGCTAAACGTCTGCTACAGGAGTTAAAGCGTCCTAATAACATACCTAGAGAAACCGCTATCACCATTCTTGCTAAAGCAAGGAGAATAGAAGAGGCCACATGGGTTTTCCGACAAGCTTTTGATTCAGGGGAGGTAAAAGACATATTCGTTTTTGGATGTATGATCAATCTTTATTCGAGAAACCAAAGGTACGTGAATGTCATTGAAGTGTTTGAGAAAATGAGAAGCGCTGGTTATTTCCCGGATTCAAACGTCATAGCTATAGTGTTGAACGCTTACGGGAAACAAAGAGAGTTCGAAAAGGCGGATACGGTTTACAGAGAGATGCAAGAGGAAGGATGTGTTTTTCCTAATGAGGTTCATTTCCAGATGCTGATATATACTCGTCAAAGAAAATTTTCGAGATGGTTGAATCTTTGTTTGAGAGATTGGAATGTGATCCTAATGTCAATAGCAAGGAGTTGCATTTGGTTGTGGCGGCTCTGTATGAGAGAGCACGGGATCGATCGATCTCATCTAGGGGATCGGTCGATCCAGACCGATCGATTAAGCTCTGAGAAAGTCGATCGGTTTATGTTCCGCATTTTTCAATAAACTTCTCAGTCACGAGATCGAGCGTGTGGATCGATCTTCTTATTCTGGGATCGATCGATCCCGTCATATAGTGCAGTTTCTTTCGTCTTTTTTTCCCCCGCTTTGAAGTTTTTTTTTTAATGTTTTACGATTTTTTAAGTGAATTTAAGGGCATTATTGCCATTTAGAAATATTTAGCCTAAAGGGACAATAAGTTAATGAATTTAACCTAAAGGGAGAATGCTCAAACCTATTTGGCTTAAAAAAACTATTTTCTCTTTTGAATTTACACAAAACTAAACAATAGCATAGAAAAATAACTATAGCATAGAAAAATAAAAACATAAATTTAGTTTTTGGTAGTAGGCAGACAGCAAGAAAGAAAGTCATAGAAATGGAACTACAAATTCCTGACAATAGGTTTGTATAGTTAGAAGGCCATACTTAGTGCAAACATACTTTGAATATATTTAAAATAAAAAGAATAATTAGATATCATAGTTAAATAAAAACTTTACTCAATATAAAATTGAAAATAGTGGTAAAAAAAGAAAAATAAAATAAGCAACATATGAAACAATTCATTTAATAATTGTATCTTAAAAACAAGTTGTAAAAAAAAAACTAATACACTTAATATCTAGGGCATCAAAAATATACATTCCCTAAAATTAACTACAGCCAAAACACACAATAAGAAAAATCAATAGCGATCACTTCTATATATCATTCAGAATTCATTCATAAAAAGTACTATAATCAATGTGAAGCCCCGTGAATGCGAAGAAGTAATGAAAGCGGTTAGGAAATATGGACAAGCCTCTGGACAGTGCATTAATTTTGACAAGTCTTCTCTGCTCTTTGGTAAGAGAATCGGTCAAGAGATCAGGCAGGGGATCAATGATACACTTTGAATTCAAAATGACACAGGAATGGGCACCTATTTAGGGATACCAGAGGATATCAGTGGTTCGAAATGTAAGCTGTTTGCCTTCCTAAAAGACAAACTTCGGAATAAAGTGAATGGATGGACGGGAAGGTGGTTGTCTAAGGGTGGAAAGGAAGTAATGATTAAGTCGATCCTGCTAGCTCTTCCAATCTATGTTATGTCTTATTTTTTGCTTCCACTGGAGATATGTGACACCCTGGCTAGTGCCATTGCACAGTTCTGGTGGAGTTCTAACCCACCAAAGAGAGGCTTACACTGGACAACATGGGACAAGCTATGCCTATCTAAAGAGGAAGGTGGAATTGGTTTCAGGATGATCCACGAGTTTAACCTAGCGCTATTAGCAAAGCAGATGTGGAGATTGGCCCAAAATCCAGATTCTTTGGTGGCTAGAGTTATGAGAGGGCGATACTATCGGCTAAGCACGCCTCTGCGAAAGCTTAGTGTCAGCAATCCATCGTATGTGTGGACAAGCATCTCGGCTGCACGTGAATTATTGTTGTTGGGGGCTAGACATAAAATTCATTCAGGTTATGAGGTAAAGGTATGGGAGGACCCTTGGATTCCTACAATACCAGCGAGATCAGCGAATGCATCTGCTCCGGTTCTGCATCCGAATATGCGAGTGAGTGATCTGATTAATATAGAAGCAAAGGTTTGGGACCTGGAACGGCTGACAAATTATGTTGATGCGGCTGATATACCTCTTATAAGGAGTATGGCTATTAGTTCAACTCACCGTAGAGACACTCTCTGCTGGAGCTACACAAGGAGTGGACAGTACACAGTCAAGTCCGGATATTGGGTAGCACGGAATATACAAATGAACGAAGATGAGGATTTGGTAGATGAACCCAGTATTAAAAGAATCCAAGCACATGTATGGAAGGTTAAAGCACCCCCGAAGATGTGTCATCTTATGTGGCAAATCATATCGGGGCAGATGGCTGTTACGAGTGCGCTGAACCACATACACATACGATGCGATAATTTTTGCCCGAGATGCGGTGAACAAGAAGAAACAATTGCACATGCAATCTTTCAATGTCCACCGGCGTTACAGGTATGGGCCTTAGCATCTATACCAACAAGTACTACTACGTTCCCTTTGGAGAGCACATATGCGAATATGGATTATCTATTCTGGAGGAAGAAAGTCATTTGTGGGCCAGAGTTAGACAGGGATCCTTATCTTGGATAATCTGGTACATTTGGAAGGCTAGGAATGACAAGTTGTTCAGAGGCATAGATAGAGATCCTCTGGAACTGGCTCGATATGTGGAAAGTGAGTGCCTTGCATGGTTTCAAGCTAATGAGCAGGATGAGGTGGTTACGCAAGTGGACGGTGATTCTGAACGTCAGGCCTTAAGTCTGCGTGATATTTGTATGATCGACGGTTCTTGGACCTCTATTGATCAGTTCTCCGGTTGTGGTTGGGATTGGAAGGATCGTATGGGAAATAGTAAGCTGATGGGGATGCGTAATGTGAGTAGAGTGGAGTCGGCTTTGCATTCTGAGCTGGAAGCACTGCTATGGGCAATGGAGAATATGCTTCAACATTCGTCATGTCAGAGCTTTGGGACGGACTGCAAGGAATTGATAGCAATGCTCACGGATCCCTACAAATGGCCAAGTTTCTCGACAGAACTGGAGAGGATCTTGACGCTGAGGATTTGTTTTCCAGATTTCAAGATTTATTATGTTCCTAGATCCCAAAATGTTGTGCCTGATCATTTAGCTAAGACTGTCCGATCCTTTTTATCGTGAGCTTTTGTGTTGGTTGTTCTATTCCGGTCTGGATTCCCAGACCACCTCAAGCTTAAGTAATAGATCAGCTTTTCGTTGTCAAAAAAAAAAAAAAAAGTACTATAATCAATATGAAAAAAAACATTATGTAAAAAACGTCAGAAATCGAGAAATTAACCACATACCCAACATAAAATATAATCACGAAAAGTATGAAATATTTAAAATAGAAAAACACGAATTATGAGTACTACTTGCAGCAAGAACACTAAAAATGATCACATAGCAATTAAGGAAGAGTATATGAAACAGTTTTTCATTTTAACAAACATAAAATATCTCAAAGTAATTCCTATACTTTTAAAGAAAGAAACAACAATTAATCAAACCATCACTATTTTTCCTAAAAAATATATTAAAATTTTATACGAAAGAAATAAAGACGATGATATTGGTATTAAAAAATTAACCAATCATAAGTTAATATTTCAAAATGATAAATAAAAAAACAATGAATATAATAAAAGGAAGCAGTTATTATGTTAATAGAATTTAATATTTTAATTTATATACTTCTAATTTATTTTATGTTATAATATTAAATTTTATTTACAAAACTCAATACTACACTATCAAACATATTACAAATGTATTTAGATCTATTCCAGTATTCAAAAATTGATTTCACCTTGATAACATAATCTGTAATGATATGTTAAGTGCATATAAAATGCAACAATTCAAATACACAAAAATAAAATTAAAATATATAATCATATTAAAACAATTAGAAAAAAATATTTCAGGTCATGAAAAAGTTCTACACAAATTGAATTACCAAGTACGAAACTATGATATAGTATTTAAAAAAACCACAAAGGAAAGTTATTACTTGCATCAACAACATGAACAAGATTTTACATCAAAATCTCTTCACAGAAAAATATTACAATAATAAAACTACTTAAACACATATATAGAAAAAAAAAACTAAAAGTGAGATACAGATAGAGTTCACAAAAAAAACAACACCCATCAATCCTCTCTATCATATTTTAGTCGTTCGACAATTTATTTGTTTAATACTGAATAAAATTATTTTAATGTGCGTATAAATTTAACATACACTATTTTAAACATAAAAATGTAGAATGGAAAATTTTTAAAATTACATTTAACTCAAGAAATAAATTTGAAACAAAAAACTCTTAAACTTAATTAATTAACAAAAAATAATCACTACATGAGAAAATAAAACAAAATTTAGATAATATAAAATGCGCATAGCGCGGTAAATCATCTAGTTACTATAGTAACAATATTGAAGAAAATGTTTAATTTATTAAACATATGAAAAAAAATTATTTCAATTTTTTTAATTGATAATATTTCTATATATAAATATTAGTTTTATATTCGTATGTCCGGATAAAACACAATTGGGAGAATAAAAATAAATAAATTATTGGGGGTTGCCATAATTTTGTTGAACCGAATCTTCAAAGGACGGTCTGCTAAACTTTTTCTGTGACCGGTCGACTCCTGGTTTAACGAAAATCATAACTTTTTGTGCGATTCTCTGTACTTTCAAAACGAGTGATACTCTTTTAGGTTTACGTTCCTTCCAAATTGAGTTTTACCGAAATTGAAAAGTAAATGGAGAAGCTCTCCAATACTTTCTCTCTCCTTGCTTTCGCCGAAGAAGATGGTACTGCGGCTTCTCCTCCTTCTTCTTCCACTGGTATCTTCCGATTTAGTATCTCTGGAGTCAGACTGATTCAATGATCGATGAAGAAAGTTTCAGTTTGAATACTGATTCATGTGTCAATTTTTTTTTGATAGAAAAACTAGGAGAAAGGGTAGTTGAGGATGTCGGAAACTATAAGCAACCACTTGTCTGGATTGACTTGGAAATGACTGGTATGTTTCAACTTGTTCGTGACCTACGGTGTTGGCTGTTAATTCCAAATTTTAAAATTTGGATTTGGTTTGTGTGTATTAGCTTCATCTTTTACATATGATCCACTGTTTGTCATTTTCGACACCTCTCACTCACATTTACACAGAATTCATTCTTGTAATATTTATTATAGCACTTTTTATTACTTTGAATGAGCCTTGAGTGTTTCAGAAAACACACTACAGTATCTCGGTTAATAAGATAAAAGGATTTCTGTCGTTCCCGATCATTAGTTTTTAATATTCTTAGTATATATTATTGCGCAGGTCTTAATGTTGAAGCTGACAAAATATTGGAGATTGCGTGTATAATTACTGATGGACAGTTAACCAAGTCAGTGGAGGTATATTCTTCTCTGCTAAGTTCCAAAGCTTTCTTAGTTTGACCAGATTCCCTTGAACAAATGTTGAATCTGTTCCAACAGAAAAGTGGTATTCTCTTAGTCTATAAGCTACACTGTTTAGAGAAGTCTTAAGTTCTGAGTCTCCGGACCAGTTAAATATCATTGTTTCTCAAAATCATAGCGGAAAAGAGATCAGAATGTTATTGATAGTATATAATTGTGTAATAGGATAATTCCTTTCTTTTTTGGGGCAACAAGTAATAATAGGATAATAATTGTGTAATAGGATTATTCTCTTAGTTTTCAGATGACTCATTTGCTCTTCCACCTATGACTCGCTCGCTATGTAACAGCTTTATTTTGATTTGTTATCTGAAAAATGTTTATCTACTAATAGGGTCCAGATTTAGTTGTACATCAAACCAAAGACTGTATGGATAAAATGGGTGACTGGTGTCAAACTCATCATGGAGCCAGTGGTAAGCTTCTCTCGAGATATTCATCCTTGTACATTTTCTTGTGTGTTTCCATGGACTTGAACTTTCTAATGATACTGGACTATCACTTAAAGGTTTGACGAAGAAAGTACTTTGTAGTACGATAAGTGAAAGGCAAGCTGAAGAAGAGGTATTTGGATATCTTTCAGCAAACATGTCATATTTGGTTGACCTTTTTTAAATTTTCCTGGTTTTGTTTACAGGTCATCAAATTCGTAAAAAAGCATGTTGGTTCTGAACATCCACAATTAGCTGGAAACTCGGTCTATGTGGATTTCCTTTTCTTAAAGGTTAGCGCTCGAACTTTGATTTTTTTCCTCTCTATTCAAATCTTAAACAGTTGCTTCTTGATTGTAAGTTGTAACCAATATATGTGTTTCACAGAAGTACATGCCAGATTTGGCTGCCCTTTTCTCTCATGTACTTGTCGATGTTAGTAGCGTTAAGTCTTTATGCATCCGATGGTTCCCCAGAGGTAAAATATTTATTAAAAAAAATTCTTTGGTTTTTATAACATCAAGACTTACAGATTCAGAATGTGTTTGTGGATTGAGCATAGATAAAAACAGAGCTCCTGCAAAGAAAAATAATCACAGAGCCATGGATGATATAAGAGAAAGCATCAAGGAGCTCAAGTATTACAAGGAAACCATATTTAAATCAAACAAAGCAAGGAGGTGAGTTGGAGTGAAATCCTCTTGTATACATACCTACTTGATTAAAAGAAATTCGTTTTTTTGGGGGGTTAGGGAAATCGACATTGTTGCTGAGTAATCATTCTTTTGCCTGATATATTATGAAACATAGTTATCTTTAGTTATTTAAATGGTAAAAGATTGTTCTCAAGACAAGAGAAGCCTCCATTGCCCTCGTTGATCAAACTATGATCATTGTTCTGAAGACGAGTAAGTATTGTCAAGCCCTCTTGATATGCTAACATCATGGTTATAGCTTTGTGTAAAAGAATCTTCAAGGACTTTACTAGTTTTTAATATTATTTGCACTTTCTTACACAAAACAATCCTAGTCCCCTTCGCTCATCATCCTTACAAAAGTCAAGCTTGACCCAAAACATAGAAACATATATTATACATCACATTCCAGACTACATTCTCCAGAGAATTAGAGAGCTTCTTATAGAACTGCAAACACATACCATCACCTCTGCTTTTTTTCGTCTAAAAATTCTTCTATTCAGTATCATTTATCAAAGACAATAACATAACAATTGATATGATACATTACATCAAGAAAGCCAAAACAAGCTCTTGAGAACAATCTAACCTGGGCGAAAATATGATCTGGAAGATACGAGCATTAGCTAGGTTGTGCATGTAAGGAAAAATAATCAGCGTTACGCCACACTCGGAATGGGTTAATTTGGGTTTATTTTTCATTTTTATTTTATTTGTTTTTGTTTAACTTGTCTGGCCCGTTACGTCCACACACTGGAAACCTAGGAGGCTGAGAAATTAAACAATTAATCCTTCTCTTTCGTTTGTTCTTCGGTGATCTTCTTCCCCAACTGAAAGTCGATCAATCGAAACTACTCCATCTCTGTGCAATGAATCCTTTGAATATCTCATTTCTGGCTTTCTTTCCTCTTTCTCCCTCTGAATTTCTTTGTAACTCTCTTTCCCCAAGATTTATTTACAAACAAAATCATTATACAAACTCTCTCAATCACATATCACGTGAAATCGAAGCACATATTGCTTTGTTTTAGTGTGTGACTCTATTTTTTTATGTGGCTCTATTTTTTAAAAACTTTTTGAAATTTTCAGTTAAACTGATGAAAAGCTTCAAGAGAGATCTTTGTTTGCTCGTCGTGGTTTCTTGCATTGGTTGGTGGTGCTTCGTTAATGGCCACACTTGAGTTTCAAGGATTACAAGCTGCTCAAGCAGAGGAGAAAGATGATGGAGAGAGAAAGATGAGGAGAAGGAGTTGTTGGTTCTTTCAAGTTTTTGTTTGATCCTAACAAGAGAACAAAGTCTGGGAAAGAGCTACCAAAAGCTTACTTGAAATCTGCAAGAGAGGTCGTGAAAACGATGAGGGATTCACTTAAAAAAACCCAAAAGACAATGCCAAATTTAGAAGACGCGCCGATTCCGTCAAGGAATCGATTCTTGATTTTGAGTAACTGGAGAGGGCAGAAGAGTGTTGCTGGAGAAGTATGCATTTGCATCCTTTCTACTTGTTTTCATCTTTTTGAATAGTTGATGAGTGAAGATGAAAGAAACCATTTGATATGTGTTCAGGATGCTAAAACGTAACATCAAAAGGTGTCTAAGCTCGTGGGAGGATACAAAAATATTAGGTTTTGCATCAAAGCATAAGCTAACATCGTGAATTCTTCAGATTTTTATTCTAATCCAACCCCTTTTTTAAGAATTGTTTCATCTTGTTTAGATTGTGATTGAAGTCAGTGAGCCAAAGGCTTGATGGAAAGCTGCTTTCAGTGATCTATCTGCTAACACCACTGTGAATTTCTTACATCCATCATCATATCTGCATCTTGATAGTTACAAAGCTTTTATCCTTTTCTCGTGAGAGACTAATGCTTATAATTGTTTCTGAAATTTGTCTTTTCTATTTTGCTTTTGTGTGTGTGTTTTTGTATGTTAAGGTTGTAAATTTTAAGTGCCCCTTTGGTGTAAACCCATTAAGGGAGCACATATACTTAGGTGCACATGTTGTAAGCCATGACATATCTGAAGCTTTAGAAAGAATTTGGTGCTAGAAACATGAAATATTGACTCTTCTTTTGTTTTCTGTCAAATCTTCTACTCGATTATAGATCATGTCAAAACTCCATTTTCGTGGTCAGAAGTTAGGGAGGTTAGATAAAGAAAGATACTTCCCTACTCCACTGATTGCCTGTTTTCACTAGGGGTTGAACTAGATGTTCATTAATTATTCATGGAAAAAATGGTTTAAAATTGCTTGATTGAACCCCATTTTTTACATTTATATTTAAATTGTGACCCCAGTAACAATTTATGCTGGGGAGTCTTCTGGGCGTTGATCAAGATTTCATTAATGAACACTGAATCGTCGTATCTTAGAGAGTCTTAGCTTGGAAGATGCATCTTTTGGTTTTTGATTTTGTTTGCATATCTCCATTAAATTCTCAAAATTACAGATTTATGGAACATTTTATAATGCCTCCTCATTTGTTGCTTTTTGTAACGCTCATGGCTTTATCTTGCTGAATCCATTCAAGCAGTTGTTGTTTGCTATGTGATTAATCATTTTCTAGACTTGGATAGAACATGTTAACTTAGATTCTAGATTGTGAAAGCTGATAGGTTTATTATAGTTTTGTTATTGACCAAGATTTCAAGAATACTGAATGGTCTTGGAAGATACATCTTTTGTTGTTTGATTTTGTTTGCATCGATATGGTATTAAAGAACATGTAAATTCATGATTCGTTATTAACACACTGATCTCTCCACAATGTTCTCAAATTTACTGAGGTTATGAGATTATTTTTCTTCTAAGAAAGTAAAAAATTTACTAGCCACGCCAACTCTCAGTACTCCATTTCCTATGTGTTCTCCGTCACAAATGAAATGCGAATAGTTAGTGGATCTGAGGACAATTGTGTATACATGTGGGAGCTGTACTCCAGGATATTGCTTCAGGAAACTTCAGGGTCATACTGAGTAGGGCTAGGACTTTTATCCGGGATCCGGATTCGATCCGAAATCCGCTCCGAAATTAAGATATCCGGGGGTGCCCGGCTCCCGATCTGGATAGTAAAATCTCGGATCCATGCAAACCAAATCCAGATCCGGATATCTTAAATTTCAGGTCTGGGTATCCGGATTCGGATCCGTATTTTAAAAAATATATTAATATTTTTATTTTATTATTAATTATATCTGATATATTAATATTTATGCATAAATAAGTGTAATAATATTCTACTTTTATACTAATAATATTATATGTCATATATATATATATTCATAAATTAGGTTTAAATATTTAGTTTCTATATTATTTTTAGAATTTTTGATTTTTTTTAAAAAAAATTTTAATTAGTTTTACCGATCCGAATCCGAATCCGGATACCCACGGATATCAAAATATCTAGATGGATATCCGGAGCCGGGATATCCGGAAGATACGAATCCGAATCCAGATACTAAAATCACGGATCTGACGAATTCGGATCCGGATACTTCAAATTTCCCGGATATCCGGATCCGTTCCATCCCTTATACTGAACATGTAATAAGTGTGGCTTGCCATGATCACATTGGGTTCGCTGGACAAGTCTATAAGAATTTGGGTACATGAGAAAGAATGAAACAGGAATCTCTTCAAAACCCATCCATTTAAATATTTATAAATTAAGATCTTGATATTTACTTCAATTTGAGTTAACTAATCTAATCTTTACTATTTTTAGACTACTAGGAATCGTTCACCCTGCGCAAGCGCGGGGTTATTACCGTTTGTGTTGTGTTGTTTTTATCCATGAAGGAATGACTCATGTGTTGGGGAAGTTCTTTTTGAGACTGTGAAATAAATTAGATTATTTAGTGATTCATAAAAGTTTGTGGTCAGATTTCTAAGTGAATATTTGTTGATATAGGGATGGATTGTTTTATGTTTTATTTGTTTTATTGGACTTGGGTATATATGCGATTATTGTGGTATCAAAATGTTGTTTTAACTGTAGTCTATGACTATTTAGTTTGTTTGCATTTGTTTTCATCTAAAGATCGAAAGTTCTTTTTTAAAGAGAAATGAAACAAATCAAGAGCTTTATGCTTTCAGTTTGAGAGCATGGCTACAGAGCGGACATTCAATGTTTACATGAGCTTTATTTCTTTAGGAATGCATGTCACCATGTAACGTCTAGTGATTAATGCGTTTAGTTGTGGACATTATCAATATGCAAAATGCAGTCAACACTGCCTTTTTTAAAATAAAACTTAGTAATTGTCCTCTTCATAGGAGAGAGTTTTCCGGAAATTAATAATGGATTCAAAATCATAACAATGCTGAAAATACAGAACATACAAATTGAAACTATCATTCACGTGTGCATTAGCGGCTATTCTCTTCTGTTTCAAAATCGGCAGGATTTGGTTCATCATCTCTTGCTGCAACAGAGTTGTTGGCAGATGCAGCTGCTTCTTCACCTACATTTGTTACTTGTGTGAGAATGTAAACTGCAGGCCTAATAACACATAGGAAGACGTTCTCGAAGGAGGCGTCTGGCTTTTGGCAAATAGAGGGAAGAATAGAGGGTGTCGGTGTATGTGGATTGGACTCACAAACCTTTTTTTATTTATTTATAGATTTTGAATTGTTCTTCTGATTTTAAAACGAATAAAGTTTGGATCGTATATAAAAGAAGACGGAGAGTCGTGGGAGTGAATAAGTTTAATGAGAACACATATTCATTATACATGTGAAATCAAAATGTTGAAATAGGGTAAGGAAGAGATGTAGATGAAGAGATAGGGGAGGTAAAAGATGAAGGGAATGTCTGGTTTTTCTCAAGCAATGGATGACACACTGAAGTTCAATAGTCGACGGAAGAGTTCAGTTACAGAAAAGACGCTTCATGACCTAAGTCTAAACGCAGAGTTTTGTTATCTTTGGCTACGTGCTTTAGAATGGGCTTCTAAATATAAATTACAAACTCACACCAGCCCACATATACCAAATCAAAACACATTGATAACGTGGTTGACCGGATGGAATAACACACGGATCCTACAAGAATCTTGAAACTCAACCATTATAATATAGTCCCCGCGCAAACGCGGTTTCGGAGATATAATTTGTGTATTCTATAATTTTATTATATCTTTTGATGTTTGACATATAAGCTGGACCGATATAGCGTGAGAAGTCTTATGTATTAGTCAATAAAGTTTTCAAAAGTTCTATATATCCGCAAACATTATGCAGTCTTGTTAAATGTCAAAGGTTCTTCTCAATCTTCTCTAATTCTCATAAATATCATCATTTTTTATATTCTGAGAATCACATAAAAGGATGCGACAAACAATCATAAACTGAGCTGTTCGACCAAAGTAAAGAGAATCAAAAAGTTGAGATGCATGCAACGACTTTAGCAACCGAAGCAAAAGCTGAAGTTATTTTCGAGAAGATGTGATAATATTTTACTGGAAAAAGAATTAATGAGAGAATCAGAGATGAATGGTTTCTTCGTTTAGATATAGTATATATTAAGCGTAATGAAAGAGGTATTATGAACATGGTTCATTATAACTTAACGGAGTAAATGGGTATTATTATGCAATCTTGTTAAATGCCAATGTTCTTCTCTTTCCATAAATTAGCCATTTTTATGTTTCGAGAATCCCAGAAACGGAGGCGGCAAAGGTAGAAAAAATCAAAATTTGACAGGTATGTAAAGGTTTTAGGCCTCGATTAGTACATCTAATAATAAAATAGTAGCAGTATGCTGTAGAAGCAATATGCTGTAGAAGATGTATGCTCTTACTAGGTTTTTTTAATAAAGTGATTGATAGAACACTAGCAGTATATAATTTTATAATTATCATAAAATTTAGTATATAATATATTTATTTAAATAAATATATATTTATAATATATATTAATAACATTTTAAATAAAAATAATGAATCTTATTCAATTACATAAATGGTTTTATATTTTAAATGTGGAATATTAATGTTTAAAAAATATATATAAATTTTATTTTAAAAATCTAAATTTATTTTTGCATATAAACAGAAATTTAATATTATTACATAAAATAAAAATAATTTATATAAAACTTCTATATGATTAATTTATTATTTTATTATTGGTAGAGAATTAAATGATTAATCTATTTATTTTAAATACTATAAATATGTTTATATCTATAATATATAATTATATTACATTTAGGTATGTTATTAAAATAATGATTAATATGTGTAATTATATAATTTATATAATATTTAAAATGTGAATTAGTATTTTTCAATTAAAAATATTTAATTACAGTTTTTGGAAAATAATTATGTATAATTTTTTAAAAATTTTATATTTTCTAAGAACAAACGATCTTCCAAAAGCTCCATATGAGACCTTTGAGCAAATAACATTTGGAGAACATTAGCATCTTGTAAATGAATTTCTAAATGTTTTTCTCATAAATGTTGATTGGATAATAAGAGTATAATTTTATGATAATGCTACCAATCAATCCATCAACATCTAAAGCTGAAGATGAAGTCATTTCCGAGAAGATGTAATAAAATTCGTCTAG